CCAGATGCAATTTCTGAGGGCCTAATCCCGGATATGTCCGGGAAAACCCAGACGTATGGCAGCCCTAGGTGGGGCAGAACTAGGTGTGCCGTTTTGAGTTCCTTGGAGTAAAGTCAGGCTAAAGATGTAATAATAAAATAAATAAAACATAAATAAAAACGAGAGCACAGGAGCAGCATACAGAAGCCAGAGAAAAATCCATAGGATTGGCCTATTAAAGCTGCTTAGCTTGATAGGTCAAATACCTAATGGGAGGGGAAAAAATGTTAATTAGCTAACAAAACCTACAGCAACTGCACTCCTCAGATGAGGCAGTGCTGAGAGTGCAAGAAACACCAGAGATGAACTTAGCATATATACTAGAAACTAGGTTGAATCTGTAAACTTTGGTAGTTTACCTTGTATGCTGCTTCAGTAACTTTTGCCTGTGAAACAGTTTATAAATCTGCCCAAAAAATAATAATAAAGTGAAATTTAACTAGCGCCAGAGAGAAAGGGGCTAACAGAACACTGGGGAAAGGAATGTCATATTCAAGAAAAACACTGTGAGAAAAACAAAAGGGCAATGAATCCAGAGGGAGAATCTCCTACTAGCGAGGTGCTTGAGGAATCTCACTGTTCCTGGGAAAGTTGCCTATATTTAAACTCCCACATAACATTTGCATGTGCCGATGAGGCACTGCTCTGACTCACAGGCTCTCTTACCCTGCCCACTCCCTAAGCACAGGATCACACCGCAAGACATCTTGCGAGTCACTTTTTGTGCTACTGAAGCTACAAGTGGTCCACTGAATTGGGCAGGCATTCAAAGCCAGTATCTTTCATCAAGTGCAACTTCAAAAGCAACCTCTAAATGAACTGTGCTTTCTGCATACTCAAACAGTATGTCAGGATTCTAGGGCTTGAACTGGGAATCTTAGGGCCACAAATGAAAGCTAAACTTGGTGAACTACCTAGAACTTAAAGTCTTCGGCAGGCTGAGAAGGTATGCGGTCTCTTTCTATTTAGAAGACAACACGAAGGAATAGGCACATGAAACCTTGGCTTTTGCAATTTTGGCAGGCAGTATAAAACCCCCAGATTGGCCAGGCCTAGAACATGGTGCCTTGCCCTTTGACCTTTTCTGGATTGATTGATTGATTGATTGATTGATTGATTATATATTGCATTTATATCCCACCTTTTTCCCCAAGGAGCTCAAGGTAGCATACAAAGTTCTTCTCCTGCTCCTCATTTAATCCCCACAACAAACTTGTGAGGTAGGTTAGACTGAGAGGCAATGATTGGCCCAAGGTGAGCTTCCTGAAAGAGTGGGGATTTGAACCCTGGTCTAGCAGATCCTAGTCCAACACTTTAACCACTTTACCACACTGGCTTAGTATCACAGTGTCCCTGTGGCCCTGTGTGAGAAATTATCCTCATACAATTACCAGTGCATGTGGGGAGAAATATTCATCCATCCCTATCTAACTCTTGTGTTTGCTGAGACAATAGAATAGAGAGTTGGGAGTGGTAAAATCATATAAGCCACTGTAAGGTAAAGGAATACAGTCTGTGTTCCAGCTGGAGTAATTCCAGTCTCGTTTTTTCATAAAGCTCTAGAGCCTAGGCCCTGAGACAGCTGAAGAGACGGATTTCTGATGGGCTTTCCTTTTGCTTAAGGTGTGTTACAGTAGTTTTGAATAAAGTGGGTTTAGTCTCCACCCTTCAGGTAAAAAGTACATCTTACAGACACCTTGCACTCCTTGGAGCAAAGACTTGCCACAAATAGAAATGAAAGTAATGCTCTTGCTTCCTGATTATCTGAGTCCCAACCTTCTCCAGCCTGAGATTCAAACATGGGGCAGTCCATGGGGAAAATTGCAAGCAAATGAAGCAAAAATGAGAAGATAAGGAGACAGGCTAACAGAGCTCACTTTAAGGCTATGGAGTCCACAATCCACGCTGCTTGTGAAATAAAGGCACATCCTTCACGAACTACCACCAGCAAGCTGACTTGGGGTGAGGGAGGGAGGGAGGGGAACTCCTGAACATTCATGGTTTGGCCTTCTAAAAAATAAAATAACCCCATAACATTGAGTTCGGCAGCATTAAGTGCTTGATGGAAATCAGACGTTTTGATCTGAATGTTACACATGCAATATACCAGCTAATGAGAACCAGTGTCAATTCTGGAAAATGTTAGGCAGAATGATTTTTTTAATTCACCAGCCCACCACTTTCCCCCCAGGAAGGCTGAGCATATGATTCCAATCACACAGTTATGACAGGTTGTATGCATGTAGGAGGTTTTCCCTTAAGTTTCCAGGAGGTCACTTACTAATGGCTTGTAGCCAAGAGCGCTGCTCTCTTCAAGACCAATTTAGCTGCCATTGAGAACATCCAATACATTTTTTGACTGACACTCGACAAGGAACAAGAGTTTTGCCTTCAGCCTCTGTGAGAAATCTGCATTTCTGTAGCCAGCAGAACTAGCTTCTTTATAAAGAAAATAAGGAATTCAAGGAAAGTCTAAGTGACTCCCTGAGACAGCATTTCCTTAGACCCAGTTTGGAATAGGGGTGTTAGGGGAGATATAGTACCTCTGGTGGGTGACACATCGTGGTGCTTCTGCCACAGTTTGTTCATTTTTGGTCTTCACCATGCACTCAGCTCTCACCTGTGGCTCCTAAAAGCTGTCAATTTGCATCAGAAAACTGTCAGTTTAGATTAGAAAAAATTCTAGTGGTCTACAAATAACCAAATATGCCATGCTTATTTTACGTGTATTTAGTAATCATACCCAAAAAAATATTTGAAACTGCCAAGCCTGTCTAATTGGCATTAGTTCATTGTTACTAATGAACTTATGAAACAGAAAATTTTGGTTTGGAATTTTTTCTCATGAAAATCTTTCTGCCCCAGATCATTGCAAATTGCTACACACCCAGCCTAGCTGTTCCTACTTCCTCCATCCAAAAATATCCTGGCCACACAGTAAACTACATGTCAGAAATCAAGCTGGACTTGGCTACGTTTTTCCTTGAGGTCAAGTTTTGTAAAGAAAAGTCTCTGTGGAAAATTATTGAGCCAGTAAGCCCCAGCTACCTTGAAGTCTGATATGATATAGGCCTGAGAGAGGTGGACCACCTTGAGTAAGAAATTAGGTCTTTGTCACTTGGATCACCTGAAGCACATATAGGAGCTTCTTGTAAGCAGCTGCTGCTGTATTATTCACTCCTGTTCTGGAGACTGAGAAGTCTTTGATACTAATATTAACAGGGCATGCCCTACTCAGACAGGCCTCAAACACACATCAGAGCCCCATGGAGCTGTGGTTCCCAGTCATCCAGTATAAAGGGAGATTTCATGGAGGTGGAACTATAAAATTGGCTTACCACTGCTGATTTATAAAAGGAAAATAACGGCAGGAGGAAAGAAACTTCATAAAAATACCTCACATTATTTCTCCTGTGACTCATCATTATTCTAGCTGTGTCTGGACACATTAATAAAGTCTGAACATCACTCCTCTCCCCACCCCACCCCTGTCCAGCAAAATCCTAGGTAATGTTGTAAAAGAAAAACCTCCATAATAGTTAGTTACCCTTATTAACGTGGGTTGTGGCTTCTTGGCTTCCTATTAGACACTGTAAAATGCAAACGTTAAAACTCAACATAGCAGACGTTTGAAACAATAACACATGGCTCATCTGGACAATGTCGGGACATCTTTCAGAAGTAGGTTACTTACAGTAATGAGAGACTAGGACAAGATGACTTGGGTTAGACCTGTGACCTCAGGGCTCTTGCCCCATTACCCACCCCCCTCCATCAGCCTCCCTCTCACCTAACACATCCTTAGAGGCTCCAGCCACTGTTGAAAACACCAGAACATCTCAGCTGAGAAGCAGGAGTGGCTCTGATTTCCAGCTTCCCCACACTGTGCCATGTTCTTATCTCCTTGGCTTGGACACAAGCAACAGTGTGGGGATATAGCTGAGGTAAATGGAGAGAAATAGGAGCCACAGTAGGCCTGATCAGTAGATCTTGAGTGTCTCCAAGAGCAAACAAGCTGGAGTCCCACTATGTCCTGGACTAAAAGTTTTTAAGGTAAAAACGTATGAGCCCCTGCTGGATCAGACAAAGGCCCAACTAGTCCAGCATCCTGTTTTCCACAGTGGTCAACTGAATGCCTCTGAGAAGCCCACAAAGAGGGGCACGGTGGCAACAGCCCTCTTCCACTATTGCTCCCCGCAAATTGCTATTGAGAAGCACACAGGCTCTGAACCTTAAGATTCCATAGTATCACCATGAGCATTGACAGACTCGTCCTCTATTAATTTATTTGAATCTGTTTTTTAAAGCTATCTCCCTTGACTAGAATAATTCTCATACTATTATGCAGAGTGGACTTCTTGACTTGGGACTTGGAGGTATGGAAGCCACATCACCACCTCTGTGCAGTCCAGAAAACCATCAGGAGCCCTCTTCTCCCAGCGCTGAGGGCCATTCCAAGAGGAATTAGTCATGCAGTGCTGGCCTGTCCATTGTCTGGCTGGAACATCTGTCCCATTCATGTAACCACATGTCTTTGTCGGTGTTTTCCCACTTCTCTCCTTGCTAATGGCCCAATTCTATGAATCACCATGTGGGAAGAGGACTCACACACCGCTGCTCTCACACTCTTATTGGAATCCGGCTGCAGCTTGGCTAAAGTCACTGGTTCTCCTATGCTGGCATTTCCTTTCTGACCTCACTTCAGTGCTGCATGAGGATATCTGGACAGCTCCAAAGGGTGTGGCGCAATGGCCCATGTTATGCAAACATCTGGGATCCAGGACATTGGCAGTAACTGTACATGGGAAACTGTCTTATACCAGGACAACCTTTTTTTCTCACCTAGCCCAGAATTGTGTACTTGGATTGCAGTGGCTCTGTGGGTTCTCAGGCAGGGGAGGAGCATTCTCATCACATCTTACCGAATCCTTTTTTTTTTTTTACGGGAGATTCCAAGGAAGAGCCATAGCTCAATGGTGCAGCATCTGCCTATCATGCAGAAGGCCCCAGGTGCAATGCCTAGCAGACCCAGGTAGGGCTGAGAGAGAATCTGGAGAGGTCCTGCCAGTCAGTTGAGGAATTACTGAGTGAGATGGACCAATAGTGTGACTCAGCCTCAGGCAGCTTTCTATGTCTGCTGAACATGAGATGTTCTTCATGCAGTACATGTGCTCCACCAGTGGACCAAGGCCATTTCTCTCCATAAGTATGGGGGATCCTATGGCTCCTGAGCCTTTTGCAAGTGTGGAGTAGTGGTTAGAGTGCTGGGCCATTCCCCACTTGGCAATGAACCTTATTGGGTGATGAACCTACCTCACAGTTTTGTTGGGAAGATAATATGGGGAGGGGGATAGTCATGGGTGCCATCTTGAACTCTGTGGAGGAAAGGTGGGGTGCAAATGCAACAATAAATAAATAAAATAAAAATAAGTTAAGACGTTCAGGAGGACTCTATGGCAAGCATGGTCAAGCCAAGACATTTTGGCACCACAAAATGGCACCTCCTGCTTCCCACCAGGGAAGAAAGGATGAGTGAAGATCTACATCAGGAATAAGGGAGGGATAAGTATCTATATTGGGACACCCTGCATCCATCCATCTGAGGCGGTCGCCTCACCTTGCTTCATGAATGGGCCAGCCCTGATGGCAAGCCCAGAATGTCATTAAGTTACAATGCTGCAGCAAAAGCAAACATATAGAGACAATCCTCCTGTGGATTACAATGGCTTATTTTCCCATATCCATCTATATATTACTAACAGCATTTTAAACACACACCCCATCTGGGTAACTCAAGCCAAACTGTTTTTATGCCAAATTGCCATTGGACACACCCTGAAATTAAGAAAACATCTGAATATGTTTTAATGTAATGGTTGCCATAAATGAGATAGCAGTTCACCCATGTTCTGACAGTAATAAAGTTGATGTTTGACACAGAACAGAATCAAAAGCGGGAATGTCATGTCAAGACCCTGAACAGGCTCCAGTATCTTTAAGATCATGTTTTTGTACACACATGGCAATAAATCTCATTCAAATCCATAGATAAAACTGGTTCAATATGCAGAAGCTCAAGATGCAAGAACTGCAGGGAAGGAAGAATTTCACTAGTATAACATAGAGGAGCAGCCACCCTCTCTGGGTCTGAATCGGCAACTCTAAAGGTGGAAAGAACCATAATTTATTCCATTGCTGTTTGTTACACATTATCTTAATAAACCAAACCAGTGAAAGATGGCTGCATGGCCACCAGTCAGTCCAGTAGATAAACAACAGACTTCTGATCAGCAACTGCAATGTTGTCTTTTCCAGCAGGCTGTCTAGCATTCTTCTCCTATCAGGGAAACTAAGAAAACAGAGCCTGTGCCAGATAGACACAAAAGATTACACAACAACAGTGTAGTGAGGTTAGGCAACTGCCAGTTTTACTAGGGAGATAAGCAGCAAGGCTGAGATATTTATAGGAGCTTAGACATTTATATTGCCTTTTGAAAGAAATGTAATGATCCAAACCGTAAAGAGCACGAACATCATCAGTTTATTGCCTTTTTAGTTTAATGGGAGTTTGCAGCATAAATACATGTGAATAAAACCCTTCTGTGGGAATGAGATGAGCAATAATCTCTCTGGGACAGGGACTGCCTCTTGACATACATCTGTTTTTGGAATGGGCGGTGCATATCACAGTAAGATAAACCAACATTGCTATTCAATATCACAAGACAGTGTGGTGTAGTAGTTAAAGGAGGGACCCCGTTCTCTACTCAGCTGTGAAACTTGCTGAGTGACTTTGTAGCATTCACCATGTACTTTGCCTAATAACCTACGTGACAGGGTTGTTGTGGCAATAAAATGGAGGGTGGGGGAGGAGGATCAATTGGAAAATGTAATAAGTCAATAATGTCTATTTTGCACTTAATGACAGAATCCAGCAAATTCTATTGACAGCATTAGCGGAAGGGAACCACGTGTAGCCCTGGGAAGTGGCAAAAGCTGCTTGAAACCACCAACTGTGACCAATACGACAATTGATATATGAATATTTCACTTCCTTTGTGGTGAAGCCAGGCCACAAATATTCTTTTGTGTGTCTCATAACATTGGCTTCTGCTTACCACAACCTGACTGCTAGAGCTCCAGTCTGGGGGGATAAAAACAACTTCTGAGTCAGTTGTGGAACTCTAACAGCTCTTCATAGTTCAAGGGGGTCTCTGTGAAGGGAACTTTGAGGAATTCCCCCTCACCACTTGTCCCAAGTCTCTTTGGGCACCCTGAGCTCTGAACCTGGATCTCTTCACAACTGATAACATTGTGTGCACTAAAAATGGTGGAATCCCAGCACCACCACTCTTTACCCTCAAAACCTCCTCAATAGTTTTTTCCATGAAGCCTTTGGCATGATTTTGACAACTCAGTTCGAATCTAGCCCTACTGTTAGGCAGAGCGATGCAGTTGTTGAGGGGACAGGAAGTGTCAGTGAGATGCTGGAAGAAAGAGGTGGCCATTAATGATGTCCCTTTGTGAGAGCAAACTCTTAAAGGAAGGTTTCTTGACATAGAACCTTGGAATGTTTGGAATTGGAAATCAATCAGAGCTCGGGGAAGGTGGTCCATCTCTCTCCCCCTCAGCTAAGGGGTGGAGAAGGAGGCCTCTTTGTAGTGGGGAACTGGTCCATGGGGCATCACTCGACCGTCCTCCATCTTCCCTCAGCCAGCTCCCATTCGTCTGCCTTCTTAGCTACAGAGGATGAAGCACCTGTCATGTTCCTTCTCCTTCTGTTTCTTAGTGTTGCCATTGCAAAACTCAGTAGGGAGAGGATGGGGACAAAACCAGAATCAGGGCACTTCTGCTTGTGCCGTGCTTAGAAAGCACGGGGCTGAGCATTTTTCTGGAGAAAACCCAAATTGTCGTTTGCCCCAATTGAGTGCTAAAGAGTGGTTTTCCCCAGGGGGGAAGCAGCGAGACAAGAGCAAGCATGGCTGAGCCCTTAGTTGGCTCTGCATATCATTGGCTCTGGCTCTTGGTGGCTCTGGCTCCAACCGCTGTGGGTATCTCTGTTTTCCACTCCACTAGTGGGTATCAGTCACCACAATGTGCTGATGAAAAAGTGGTGGTTTGAGAAAGAATAACAGAAGCAGGGGAAGAGGGAAGTGCACACTAAAGGCTGAGAGTCCTTAAGGGAGCATGTGTTACTTAGTACGGGCATGTAAGCTGCTGCTTGTCTCTACACCCAAATTGTACTTGTATGAAATGTAAATAAAATAGTATACAAACACCATAAATCTCCAGTGACATCTTCTTCCAAGAAGCCAAACCCCTGGGACTTCTCACCATCTGGGAAATGGGCAGCAAATAACAATGTTTTGCTGTGGCATGAAGAACTCACCACCAAGGTGGCTATTTAAGGCCACCGTCATGTGGCAAGTATTACATGTGTCACTGGTGTGTGTGTGTGTGTGTGTGTGTGTGTGTGCATGTTGGAGCTGGACCAAGTTGCAAAATAAGCAATGATTATTTTTAACTTGCAGTTACAACTTTGACTTATTTCAGGTTGACTTGCTCAGAAGTATAGTGTGAAGACAGCAGGCTTGGTGGAGTGGCATGCCTGCAGCTGCTCATTGTGATTGAAAAGAGCAGAAAGACTATCAACTAGACAGAACTCTGAACTCCAACCATGCTGACCATCACAACCTGCAGGTGATATTACCTGCTGGAGGTGTTCAGTCACTCAGGACTGAATTTTTCACTTTTAGCTAATACTGTTTGTCTTAGTGACCAAGCTGTAGGCAAAGGTTTTGTAAAGGACCTGTCTAGCAGGCATTCTTTTAAGATGTTAAGAAGAGGGACTTTCCCTGAAACATTTGGCTGCAGAAAGAATAGCATATTCACTATGCCAAATATCCCACAGCAGTAAATCCGAGCCACGTTCCTTGAAAATATCAGACTCTGATTTCCCCTTCCAAAGAAAACACTGGACTGGGAGATCTAAGAAATGGACAACAAACACAGGTTGGCCTTCAGCCATTTGAGGTGATGTTTTGGACCTCGTTACCCAGCCAACCCTTCATGAGTAAGTGTGAAAAAGTCAACACAGCATAAAGACACAGGCCAAATGATGATTGCCTAACTCCTACATGTAGCCACATTGCAATAAATGAGGCGCACCTTAAATTTTTATCACATATTTTTGTTTCCAGCTGACATCAAGTAAGGAAAACTTCCCCTGCCCCCATGATATGTGGGAAGGTTTTGTTCACTGTTCTGCACTGTGAGACATCAGTGCTGACCACAGCAAGAAAGGAAAGAATCAAGATATCATCTTTTTTGTGAAATATTTCAGAATGCAAGATGATGATTGATGATGATGATGATGATGATGATGATAGATTGATACCATAAGAAAAAGGTGACAGCTCACCACTCATGATATATATAGAAGTGAAGGTACACACTTCCTGGTTCTACTCAGAACTAGACATGTCAAACCAAGCTACTTTCCACCCAAAATTGATGGTGGTCGTGGTGAGAATATGTAGTTCCTAGGCATGCAGTATCCTGGTTTCCTGACATCAACGCAAGTGACTTGCGGGTCCTGGGGAAATTATGTTTACCAGGGTTCCTCACAACAATCCTGTGAGATACATCAGGCTGAAAGAGTGTGACTGGTCTAAGGTCACCCAATGAGCTGCCAAGTCTAAGTCTCTAACCACTACACTTCAACCACCACACCAAACTGCCTTTCTACCACAACTGTACGAGATCAACAAGAGCAGCCTTGGTGAGACCAGGAAATTTCTCTTGCTGCTAAGTTCCAGCAATTTAAAAACCAATAAATTAAGTGAACGAACAATATGAAGATTAAAATTATGTGTTTATATCTCCCAACTATAAGTCTTGGAAATAAAATGAATACCTGCTAACAAAGACTCCAATATTATCATCATGAATTAACTCATCACACAATAACAGGGCAAGGAAAGGGCTTTCAGAGGAGATCCAAGTTGCCTGAGTAGCTGATCCATCTGACATTTTGTTCTA